AAATCACCATATTATGCATGAATTACATATCACTTTCACTTGTCACAGAGTGAACATACCAAATTCAAACAACATTCACACTGTTTCTAGATGAAATAATCAACTGATTTTTTGTGCAAACAATATAATTCATGAGGGGAAAAAATAAATATTTATATATGTGCACATAGTTTTAAGATCAGCTAACAGGATTGAAACCAGCTTTCCAAGTTATGCTTGGAGCTGATGAGAACAGTTAGTTTTGAACACAAAATGTTAAATGGCATGGGACTTAATTCATCTAGGTGGCAATATATATATATTGCCTTCTCACCAGCACAATTGATCAAGTCATACACATTCATTACTGCCAATCTCTTTATTATTTATGTCTCATTACAATTGGTATGTACAAATACAATATATTTTCATTAGCAGTATCATTACAAGTTGTGCATCACCAATATCATGATCACAACTTGTATTTCACTACCACCATCATCATTATTCTCACCATTCTAATTTTATTAGTCATTCAGAATGAGTAAAAAATTTCCTATTTTACACCACTCATATATTACTTAATTGCCCAAGGTCAGGGCCATTTCACATCACTCCAGGATCTGAATACCTGCAATCACCTTTTTGATATAATACTAAAAGAGAAACAAATGACAAATGTCTTACTGGCACACTGGAATATCATAATTGCCATGAAGTAACTGTAATTTGAAACCACATTCTGCTGTATTAGCAACAGCACAACTGCTCAAGGTTGCAAGGTAAATAATAGGGATGTAGTAAGGCCAGTATTACTGGTAATTGTCTTTTTACATTTTGCTCACAACCAAAGTCCAATTATATGGAGCAAAAGTTAGAATATCCAGCTACTTTTTATATACTCACTTAATCTTACACTTGACAAGTAAAATTGTCTGGTGTTGGACAGAGAAAAATAACAAAGTATGCCATATTTGATTATCCCATATACTCTCCCTTGGATGGGTAAAATTGGGGGCTATGGAGATTTAATGGCAAGAGGTGGGGGAAACATTTTCTCCAGTAAAATTTATGGGGGCCATTGGAATCATCAACCAGAGTATTGAGGCGATATAAAAGAAAAGAATACCTGACTGCATGTAAAATTAATGTAATCTAACTTTCTTGTCACACAAAGTTAGGTAACGTTGACATTTTCACACTTTTCTATTATTATCGTACTGTTCTGTTAAGTATTTATTGGATGAGTCAGAGACCAATGGATTGGTATGAGGGCAGTTAATTTGTAATTTTTGCATGTATTCATTTATTAACTTTTTACTACTGTCATGGTCAGCCAGTTAAATAAGTATTTTACTGAGGGTACTGCCTAACTATTTTACATGTCAAAGATAACTCCAGTTATGAAAGATTGAATATTTTCTGAGCAAGCTGGAACAGAAAATTTTGATTTTAGTGAACTAAGTGAAGGGTGGAGATATAAACCAAAAAATATATCAGGCATCAAGGAGGGTTTATATCCAAAAGCGAAAGATGGAGGAGTAATTAAACGAAGAAAACTAATTATATAAACAGACAGCCACGAATCTGCTGGAATTTAGGATATATAAACTGATAAATATTAAAATATATGAGAATATAATTTTATATATGCATCATAAAATCCGAAAATCGTTTACCTCGAATATACTGCATTCTTTATAGCATTCAAAATCCATGTGACTTCAAAGTTTATAATTTCCATCAAAATAAAAACAAGCCTAAAATCTGCTGCCTGTTGTTTTAAATATGAATTTTAAAACACTTGTTATACATTCATATTTTAAAAATCAAATGCAAAATCATTTGTATTTGAAACTTTTATAGTTCGTGCATTTGCAATGTTCAGTTGTTCATCCCCCCCGGCATAACATGACCTTAATAAGGCCAGGTTACAAAAATGTCCAATATTTTTGGACACACGTGACCAGTGTTTACCAGGGCCTTTGCTTCCCGTACCAGAGCCTCTGAACCGCGCAAAGGCCCTGGGTACGAGGTTGCGCTCTAACCAACTGAGCTACGTGTTACCGGAAGTTCAGGTATATATGTATACAGCCAATTAAAAAAAGGTTGTCCTTTGCAAGCCTCAAACTCCTAACCTTAAACTCTAAGCGCGCAAAGCTTAATGGGAGCACAGATTTCAAGCTTAGTAGTTGAACATTGCAGCTATTTGTGAATAAATTGTTCTCGTAAGGAGATATATTTACCATGTCTCGAAGAAATGGGTCCCATATTTGATTTCTAAACGACTGATTAAATGATGTTCCAATTATGCTTTGCACGCTTAGAGGTTAAGGTTTAAGGTTTGCAAAGGACAGCCTTTTTTGAATATTAGCTGTATAGAGTGGTTGGATCACTGAATGCGTAGCACATAATACGTCTACACTGTACCGGATAGCCTTCCGTAGCGACGTGAAAAAACACCTATCCGTACCTTTAATTAAGGAACGCTATTTTAAAGGAATTATTCCAACCGCTAGCTGTTGTTTCGCTCAGTTTCTGAAAATTGTACATTCCGTACGGGTAGGTGCTTTTTCGCGTTCAGTTGACAGTGGTACGTCTTTTATGACCTTTTATATTTCCATGTAGAAAACTTGCTCCAAGCCGACGCCTACTAAGGGGCCATTCACAAAGGATGTCGTAGCCGGGGGGGGGGGAGGGATGGGGGTTTGGAAAATAAGGACAAACTCGGACAATTTTAGCAATCTGGATGTCCGAAATTTTAATTCAAAAACAAATTTCTTTTTTCTCTATTTTGAACTCTCCTTCCCATTGTGAAAGTGGCATTTTGAACACTTCATAATATTATAATTCTTCCCTTCAATGATGAATTCAACAACTAGTGTACGTCGTGAAATAATAGCTTTCTGCATTTATAACTCTTTTTGTATTCACATTTATAGTTATAAAGAAAGTGCTAAGAGTAAGAAACGTTTTTTACTGTTGACATATACAAGGTTGCGTGAGTTTTTGTGAGGCATGGTGGATGTCCAGGGGGAGGGCACTAATTAGGACAATGCCGGACAAAGGGGGTCTGAAAATCCATTATTTGGCCAGACAGCCTTTGTGAATGGCCCCTAAGCTTGTTTTAAACTCGTACCTAGGCTCTTAGTGGAAAGAGCCTTGGTACGAGGTTGAGCTTGTTTGAGAAATGAAATCACCATCCTCGTCCGGGCCACGGTCGTTGCTCTCGCCCAACAAGCGTGGCCTTGAGGACGAGGACGTGAAATCACAAGTATATTGACTTGCGGAAATTCCTCACTATTTCACAAATTACTTCCTCGAAAATTCCTTTATTTTTGTTGCTAATTTAAAAAGACGAAGGACTTGCCAAAAGTCAAGTCTCCGTGGTGTGCACGAATCATTATTAAACGTCTTTGTTCTATCTTTCATTAAAATCTTTGATTGACGTCAACGATCCAATATATCTTGAGTGTTTTATACTGCGAGTTGGCGAAACTCGTCAAAACAAGCCAAACACGCCTTTTCGGGGTTCGCGAAGCCATCTTGCCAACTGGGGCAAACACAAGCAACAATATGACGCTATAGCGCCGGACAAGTATTCCCAACGGGACGAGGCGATGGTTTTACCATTAATGTATTTGCCCACTTGGCAAGATGGCATCGCGAGAGGGACGGGGGGGGGGCTGGAAGTGCAGCGTTTTGTCTATCTCCCTTCATTAATTTAATGAAATTCTTCAGGGTGTAATTTATGTTGGAATTCTTCAGGGGTACCACAGAAGTGATGGTGTGGTAAAGGTTTTCCAGGTTTATACCTTGGGGTTCCTCAGTGGGAACGGTTTACGAAACCTAGAGTTCTCCGAGTTACGGGTCCATGAAATTCGTCAGGGGTAAGAGTTTTCAGCTTGGAATTCCTAAGGGCTAATTATTGCTTTCTCTAACAATGTATCACTCATGATTTTTTCCAACTCGAAACTTATACTATCACTGATAGTATAAGTTTCGAGTTTATCACCCATTATTTTTCACCCTGCTCGGTTTCCTTTGTTCTTATCGGGGAACATATTCAATATTCCCCTCTATAATCAATTTCCGTTTAATAATCCCCTCTAATATTCACCTGCAATGTCTTGCAGCACAAAAAATGAGAAAAAAACAACATAACGAAGGCAATATGGCATTAAGAATTATTTCTATTCTGACTCATTAACGCGACCTCGCAATGTGAAAAATAAGTACGTTATTTTGAGGCACCTCGGGGATATGTGTTTATTCACATATCCCCTCGTTGCCTCAAAATAACCTATACTTCTCAAATTCATTGATAATGCAGGAGTGAATTAGCCAGCCATATTGCTTTATTTTGCACACATGATAATACTGGATACCTGGATCAAAATTAAATTCAGTCTTTGGAATGGATCAAAATCATTTCACCTCACTTTAAGTTGCGACTTATTCGTACGAGATGCCATTTCAAATCCTCCAATTCGGACTAGATTTCAAGTCCTCGCATTTTGATAGTCGGGTTTGAAATATTACTACAAATACACTGGTATTAAGAATTGCACTGAAGATCTATAGAAAACATAAAAAATAGGTACGCAATGCGTACATGTTGCATGCCATCTGTAACTTATGATGCGCTATAGCGCTTATAACCTCTGGTACAACTGGTGTGAAACTTAAAATATTGATTCAATAAGTTTAATATCGATATATTTATTGAAAAATAGCTATTATGTCAAAATAAGAAAACTTAAGATTCTCACGCGAATAGGCAATGTTTTTATCAGCGACTGTTAATAGTTAGTTGCAAGCGACGGTAATAACAAGGTCAAGGTGGGTCAAGGCTTTATCAAAAGCAATTGACTGTTAGATTTCCTTTACAAATTTATAACTAAATAACGTTATTTCCAATACTGCTATAGATATTAGATAGCTTTATTGTAATTTTTTAAAGGTTTAAAAAACCAGTGGAAACGGTAAATTACTAAAATAGATTGAAAATGCTTATTAAGCTATGATTGAAATTGTCGAAGTTGAAAAATGATAGAGGTACTAGTTCGTTAATATGACTTTATGTTTTTTTCTAATTCATTTGGGAGAGAAGAAATGGCTGTATTTATCATTTTGGCATTTGAGTGATTGAAATGAGTTAATATACACTACTGTAAATCTCATTCCAAATATAAGCACTCGGATATAAGCCCCCCTCCCGAATATTAGCACACCCAAATATAACACCCCCCCCGAATATAAGCCCAGTAGCCCACTACATTATTCAACATTGACATTGCCTTTTATAGCAGAGAATGATATTTAAAGACATTGTCATTGTCTTTATATCTTACTATGTTAATCAAAGCGAGTTATTAATACACGTTTATTTTCCTGTTTATGACTAACTTGATTACGTCTGATTTATTAGTTACCAACACAAAAGATCGTCCATGTATTAACCCCCCCCGTATATAAGCCCTCCCCCTTGTATAAGCTCATCAAAAATCGCCTACGAAAGTATATAAGCCCATGCACAGGGCTTATAGTTAGGTTTACGGTATATCGAATGTCATGCTGAATGTCATGTTGAATCTGATGCGTACTTCACAATGGTTGCTATTTCGTTGTATTAAATTTCAATAGTATTACTATTTTAATTCAAATTTTGTTTGATATTTATATTTCAAAATGTGCTTTAGTTTTAAAGCTTTGCACAGAATATAGTCAGTACGAGCACAATGGCTCCTTTCAGATTGAATATGTAAAAATCGAGTATTTGATAGCGTGTGCTTTGAGCATATGGCTTTGAGGCTTATACATAAATAAAACGCCTGATATAAATTGATCAATAATCAGTGCGCGCGAGCACTCCAAAATCACAACAAATAACAGAATATACGGCAAGTTAAAAACAACAAAGCTTTACCTACCTCGATTTAATTTTCTAAGGCGCTCAATTTGTAAATTTTCGGCGAATAATCGATATGTCTTTGCGTTTCCTCGACGAAAACCCGGTATGAAAATGCTCGTCGGAAAAACGCGACGTATTTGTCGTATTTTACGAACCTGCCACGTGACTGGTACGCTCACCGCTCACTCACCGACACGACACGAAATTTAGAGCTATATGAAAGTTGCATGCCATATATGGCATGCAACAAAAAACGAGCCACCATCTTTAGTGCATGTTTGAGAACGGAAAGTACACTTCACAACAAGTAGATGGCCGTGATCCCCCCCAAAACATTCAAATTCGCGTGCTTGTTTTAGACGTTCTGGCTAGGAAAAGCCAGTTACGAGGGTTTTGTCGAGTCGTAATTCTACATAATCCGTATTCAAGGAACGTTTACACGCTATGATTTATACAATTCCTAGTGTGCCGTATGAAAATTACTGCTGACGCAAATTTTGAAATGCAACCAATTTATGCGTGCTTATTCGATTACATACGCCATAATACGAATCGTCAGTCGCCAAAATCTTTGTTCTATCGGTGACGATTATGGATGAGGCAATCATTCAATTGTATCATCTCGTCGCATCATGATCATTTGACCGCAGTGTTGAAATATCAATAAGGATCGAAAATTTCAAAAAGATTTGTCGTCTCAACATAAAATTGTGGCTTATTATGGACACTGTTAAGTTTGCCGAATTTCCAGACCACCTGCATTGACTAGGTAGCCGGACTGCCTAAATACCAGACCATATTTCCCTTCCTTAAATGCGCGTGAATGGAAGAGGAAAGAGGGCCTGGCACAAATCCTTGTCTGGGGCAAAGGTCTGACCCAATGTAAAAGAAGCCAAAAATCCGGCCAGGATTGGTCTATCAAAGAAATTTCAAAAGTAGATGATTCAGCGCGTAATACTAATAGATGATTCCGCGCGTAATACTAAAATACTCAAAATATGCTAATTTCACAGGGCTATATTTTCCGTATTTTACAACCAAATTTGGCCATTCCAAGATGTATTACAGGTTGGTGGGAATACAATTGATAAAAATTTAGTCTATGGCTGAAATCGTCTGTTAACAATATCCGATTTAATATAATAATATTAAAAATCTCACAATTGTAAAACTACGCACAATACTCGACTTTTTAATGGGTAATGGCATTGGAACTCAAGTCTGTTTGGATAGAAAGAACTCGTTAAACTGTAAAACAAGTTATTGGACAACTTTTCTTTAACTTTTGTCGTTCTTGGGATATTTTAGTTTATTTGATATGCAATCATATACGTCACATGCTGGCAAAATATTTTCGAAGATCGCATCCGCAATGGATCGCACATGCCAAAGTCCATACAGCTTACCAATCAAAATAGATGAAATCATCAAAAAATAAACTGGAATATCTTCTACTCCTAGCCAGAAAAATGAAAAACAATTTTAATCAAGGCTTCGATTTAGGAGTTCTTTCACACAAGTAGTATGTTTACATACTTAAATTTTTGTGGCTAAACAACTACATGAAAAATACAACTATATGAAAAATATAAACAGAACTTCGACGTTTCCAGCGAGACCCTTCGTCGAGAAGTTAGTTGGGAGGGCTGGCCGTAGGCACGTCAAATGCTCGAAGCAAGTTACTTGCAGGTTCATTTTCCAAAACTTTTAGAAACAGAAGATTAAAATAGACTTATCTTTAACTCCACGCAGACATGATAAAGACCTTTAGTCACTATTGATTGTAGTAAATTTTATTGGAGAAAATACACGAGGTCGTGAAGGACTGAGCCGGGCCTGCCAACTATAGAAATTCGTGGCCCATCACGGCATCACGTCCTGATTTCGCTTTTTTATGCAGACTACAGGCTCCGATTAAAAATAGATTTCGTGGGGCCTTGGCTTGCAACTTTGAAGTTCAAGATAATATTTTTCAGGTATATATATATATATATATATATATATATATACCTGATATTTCAGGTATATATATATATATATATATATATATATATATATATATATATATATATATATATATATATATATATATATATATATATATATATATATGTATATATATATATATATATATATATATACTGAAGACTATATTCAAAAAAATAGTCGATGAGTTGACGTAAGGTAGAAGAGCGCTCAATACCATAATAAGTAGAGCGGAATTAATTCAGTCAAGGTTTGAATGTTTGCGTCGCTACTCTGAGTTTCACGCTTTACGCGATCATCAGGCAACTGACGTCTGGAAACTGAAGTCAGAAAAAAGTCAGTATACAATAAAGTGGTCCATTATGAAGAAAGTCAAAGCATACAAACCAGGATCTAAACGGTGTAATTTATGCCTCGAGGAGAAACTACTTATTATGAAAGCGAAGAAAACTGAATGCCTGAACAAACGCTCTGACTTGTTTTCCAAATGTAGACATGTAACCAGATACCTGCTTAATCAAGTTGTAAATGATAACCTATATTTATTATGAATATTGAATAATATCTGTCAGTTGCCTGATGATCGCGTAAAGCGTGAAACTCAGAGTAGCGACGCAAACATTCAAACCTTGACTGAATTAATTCCGCTCTACTTATTATGGTATTGAGCGCTCTTCTACCTTACGTCAACTCATCGACTATTTTTTTGAATATAGTCGTCAGTATATATTATATATATATATATATATATATATATATATATATATATATATATATATATATATATATATATATATATATATATATATATATATATATATATATATAATAACTACAGTGAAACACGCAATTTGATTGGTCAATAGCCGTGCAGGATCAGGCTATCCTGCACGAGGAACTGAAAATGACTTCGCGGGATTTTCGCGGGATTCACAAAATGTCATTGTTTCACTGTAGTTATTTTATAAAACAATTACCAAATGGTTTTCCAAGCAGGATAGCGTGATCCATGCACTTGGGATGTTGCTCGACTTTCGGAAAGCGTAAAAATACACTCGCCTGCGGCTCGAGTATTTTTACGCTTTCCGAAAGTCTCGCGACATCCCTCGTGCATGGTCACGCAATCCTGCACGGAAAACCATTCGGTGTTCCTTTAATCCTTTCGTCTTTCCAAGACCTAACTTGCATGGTTATATAATCTTATATAAAGATTTCCTTGCAAGTTTAACATGATGTGTTGCCTGGAGAATGATGGGCAGCCAAGAATTTGGTACGAACAATTCCTATGTCTTTCAATATTTCATCAGTTTAATAGTTTAATTCAGCCGGTGACGCTTATATGTTTCACATACTTAAGTTAAAACAATATTAATATCTGTTAACTTCTCTCTACTTTTTCACGTTCATTATTGGCTTTCTTTAGAGATTTTGTCACAGCTTTACTCACGGCAAAACTTCGAAAACATGTCTTTCAAAAATTGTCACTAAAAAGCGTGGGGGGCAAGAACAGATATTTTTCATTCACTGGCGAAGAAGTACATTTTTGGCAGTCTCTGTCCAGAGTTTTTGTGGTTAAACTTGCTGTTTGATTCCTTTCGTGTAAAGTTTAATCCAGCACTAACTTTGGAATCGGTGACAGAGTGGTGAAAACCAGAAAGAGCCTGGATCCCACCAAAAGTATGGCGTAGCATTTGCGTCAGGAATCGCCGCCTTTTCGGAATAACTCTGACGTCTCATCTGGTTTGCGCAATTCGTGATGACGAGCATCAAAGAGACCGACACTAAGTGTGACATCTGGGTAATATTAAATCTGCGCTCTGGTACGAGATTGCGCAATGTCGAATTTCTATCAATGCTTGCTCTTTAATTTTTAAATACCAAATTTTAGATTCAGCTGATCTTACATTATATAAGAAAAAACATACTCCGAATAATAATGCATCTTGTAAACTCAAGAGACAAGATACGAGTTAAAGATCTGAGCACGCTTGTAAATAATAACTCATATCTTGACTTGGTAAATAATAACTCATATCTTGACTTGACATTCTTATATATTTGTTAAAATTGTCTGCTGGTATAAAGGATATTACATTATATTTATATACATGCCAGACTTATTTTGATCTTTCAATATTTATCAATTAATTCTGCTACCAATAAATTCTGCAATCAATTCGTTCAGGTATACGTAATTACTATTAAGTTGGAATCTATTTGAATGATAGCTTTGGAGTGCAGGTATACGTAGAGTGCTTCAGTGTGCTAGAATCTTAGTTACGTGAATTATCACCATGGCCATAGTCTATACAATTTTGCTAATTCCTTGTTCAAACACAGACAATCTATCAAATAGAGTGCTATTTTTAGTGCGAGTGGGTGGCTTACACAAAGTGCGAAGATTAAAGTGGGGATAAAGTTAATGACGTATGTTAGAAAATTACATAATATAATGCAATGACTTTCACAAAGTCCTCGAGCGACACAGGTATTTTTCTCGTTTTATATATGAATTGCATATAAAGCGGCGCAAAATGGCTGGAGAATAGTAGAGACGCGTCCTAGCTGTTTCTGTGAAACTCACTTTAATTATTCTGCATCATGCAAACATTCACAGGAATCCGACCAAAGCTACTTGATAGACTTACACGTCCTCAATTAAATACTCAAGGATCAAATACTGCAAAAAGGCACGTGCGTTACAAAGTCACGTTTCAAACGTTCATTACTTACAGACGTTTATGCATGCAGGAGTGTTGTTATTTCTGTAAAATCGCCAAAAATACGCTCGTTTTCCAAAATTATGCCAAAAAAGTGTGCTAGCCAGCGCAATCGAGGAAAGCCAATTGCAATTTAATTTTTTAGAATGCGCCAAATGCACTCATCAAACACTACCTACCAAAATGTTGGAGTCGCGTGGCCTCAGATTTGGCAGAGAACCTGTACATGACCTACATATCCCCATTTACTGCCATTTATCACCTCAATCCGCTAACTAAGAAAGTTCATAGTTGGCAGAGCATTGGACTAGTATCCCAAAGGTCGCGGGTTCGATTCCCACCGTGGCCAAGCAAACTTTTCAGCTTGCCCGGTGTGGATGCACACTCAGAGTAACATCACAAACATCATATTCACCTGAGTACTTACAGTCGTGCCAATAGAAGTGTTCCGAAAAATGTTGACCAGTTCATTTCCTAACTTGAAGGAACACCTCTGAACGGTTCCTCAACAATTTGATAAGTTCCTTAAAAAGTTCCTAACTTCCTGTTTCATTGACCAATCAAATTTTATATTTTATTTTTGAGCAATCGGATTGGTCAATGAAACAGGAAATTAGGAATTTTTTAAGGAACTTATCAAATTGTTGAGGAATTGTACAGAGGAACTCCTCGAAGTTAGGAAATGAACTGGTCAACATTTTTCGGAACACTTCTATTGGCACGACTGTAACACCAACACACACAAAATAATCATATCATAGAATACACTGATATCGAAAGAACTAGACTCAGTTCCGGAATATCGATTCCACATGTAGCAAGAATTCATTTGCTTGACGTTTAATCTGCTGAACCACGCGTGAGAATGAAAGTATATTGAAAATGTGAGGCATTTCGGGTAATTCACCCCTGATCACCCGCGCGCATTCATAATTCGCATGTTTAATTAACTAAAAGCACCTCTGCAGAGGAGAAAGAGTTGGGTATTAAAGAAAAATATTTTCCCATTTGTGAATTATATAACTTTTGATGCAAGGCCATGCATGCATAACAGGAAATGCTTCGGTTTTTGGAATTTCCTTCTTAACTGACAAATCATTTAATTAATACCAGTGAGTGGATGTGCCGGCAGTGATTATTTCTTGTTCAGGTTACAACAACGGGCAGTGAGTGACACATTTTTGTCAACAACTGAATCAGAATGAATTGCATTTAATGACGTAAGGACTGCGTCGTTTTTCTTAGAAATTCAGGCCAACTTAAATTAAAAGCAATTAAATGACGTACATTCCCTTTCCTGATCGTAATTTTAGCAAAGACAGTGGATAATTAATCTCGATATGATATTTAACTTAATTAAATAAGAGGCATGTGTATTTAAAATACACATGCCTCTTATTTAATTAAGTTAAATATCATGTCGAGATTAATTATCCACTGGACATATTAGTCTTTACAGGCACTATTGAATGAGTATTGTTTATTGAAAATATATATTCTTGCGGAAATGGTGTATTTCATAAGCCAACACAAATATTCAATTAGTTGTCCTTTCAAAGTTAATCAGTTTTCATGATCAACAGTCATCCGAGTTTAGAAGGTCACTCCAGTTTTTCTACGAACAACGAAGAAAGCCAGCTGAATCACATGCATGATGCATAAACAAGCAATAACGCATACGCTGCTGTGCACATGCGGCAAGCCGCATGATAAGCAGAAAAAAAACTCGCGTCATGTGAACAGCATGAAATGAGCAGATTGAATAGAAACAGGATAATACTTTCTGGATTGACAGGCATGGAATAAGCATATATAGTAAACGCTGGATTAAATCGCCTTTACCTGCTTTTGCTTAAATTTTCTTGATTATGTAAAGTGAAGCTTTGTCTTTGGCTAGTATCCGGCCAGGCTACGTCCACATGCACTAATCCGTTTTCGTATAGCGTCATCGTATTGATTGACTGTCTATCTATTTATCCATCCATCCATCCATCCATCCATCCATCCATCCATCCATCTATCTATCTATCTATCTATCTATCTATCTATCATACCTCGTCGCCAAATTCTCATCTTAATTGGAATCATGATTCTTAGTTGTATTTAATATATGCATGATATCTATATTATATACTTTTAATATATACCTTTGATAAATTAGATAAATTAGATATCCCGCTTTTGATATTTTGACTTGGAGGGTGTCAATATTCATTGAGTAGCGTATATATAGGTTTATATATATATATATAGGTTTAAAATATGTGTGACGTATATTTTCCATTGCAAAGACAAAGCGGAATCAATTTTCTTTCGAAAGGTCTATTAAATGTTTCGTGCATCTGAGCATATCTTATACTTGGAGAAAAGTACTTATGCTTAATGTCAAAGCTAATGGTATACTAATGACGTGTACGCATCGAATGTTATAGTACACCACACAAAATTATGTTTATCTTTATCAGCTTATATCATACAAGTGTGAATCATGCATGCTTTGGTTCTAAGTAAGCATCCATTTTATTATGAGTATAAGCAGGCCCAACATCATCCAACAATTGCAACTTCTTCATTTTCATGCATTGTTCATCGACTCTTTTATACATAAATATACCTTATTCCACACAGATAAACCTTACCAAACAAAAATCCCACTGATCCTTTTGTGAAAACAGTCGAACGTTCAAACCAGTCCAAAAAGCTTATATAGGTAAGATTTTAGAATTTAGCCAAACAAATTATCGGCTCAAATAGTTTAGCAAAAATACCAAAATATTATAGTCTAATAATAGCACACTGGTCACGAGCATAGCCTACCTGTTTTTCCTATTGTGGTGGAATATTCTATCCTTATAATTGTAGCAACCAAGCATTCCTGCAGAGGTAGAAAGAATTCCAGTTGCAATAAATGTGATTCAGCAGGTGGAGATTTTATATAGTCCAAGGTGTTTCCACGAAAATATACAGTCGTAGTTGAAAAAGTTGTGCTTATATTAAGATCCAAGATTATATACTTCACACAACTATGCATATTGGATACACTGAAAACTTTGTTGGCGCGATGCATTTATTGCGTCACTCGTGTACGTAAATTGTCACAGTGGCCTCCGCATTCGACATTTATGTTAGAGCTATGACGTACTACAAGCAGTCTGTCTTAGGTATATATACATGCAAATGAATATAAGTTTGTTTCATACACTAATCTTTATAGTTTTCGTAAGAAAAGCTTTGAATTCCGGAAAGCAATAAAAATTGATTTTCATTGAACGACTTCTTTATGTCTATGTATCATTTTCAAGTTTCAGTAGTAACGATCAGAAGTTTAATGAACTTGAAAATTGTGTAAGATAACATCACGAAATTTCATTCAATTAAAATAGATTTTTTACTGATATTTCAGAAGGAAGAGACCCATACAAATTAAAATGGGAACGGAAACGCATACCTCGAAAGACATGATAATTAAGGGTACTGCAATCCAGTTAAGCGTTTTTCATACGTACGTACACGCACGAATTTTATACAAGTATACTATTTACCTCAACAAATCATACGCGAACTAGATGCTCTGCTTTTTTCGTTTATAATTATGTTTTGTTATTTCGTAAATGGGTTTCAATGTTCCATATATAGAAAACGCTTAACTGGGAAGTAGCCTATAGCTAGCTATGTATAAAAATTTAAAACTGAAACTCATTAATAATTCAGGAGAAAACACAAAGAAAAATCATAAGCGTGTCGTGGTTTTATATGTGATAAAAAATCATGTTAATTTACATAAACTTTAGCTTTGATTTTCTCGGTTTAGACAAAGTTTATTTTAAAAATTACTTCGCCAATGAACTCGTATAAGATGAGTCGTTTTTTAAGCCATTTAAAGCACTTGTAGTCGTGTTCTATCACATATAAAACACTCCGCTACGCGTCGTGTTTTATATGTGATAAAACACTCCTACGCGTGCTTTATAACAGTATACATATAATATAATAATAGTAATTGGAAAAAACTACACATTAAACCACTGTTGTACGGTGATTATTTAAAAATTCGCCGAAGGCCAAGTGAATATCGCTGAATAAAAACGGAAACGAAGTCGAGGTTTTTATTCAACGATATTCACCGAGCCCGAGGAGAATAATTGTTTTAGTATAATTGCAAAGATGAGTATTTGAAAAAATAATATATAACACATCTCAATTTTTAAAGATGTGACTTTATAGAATATAGGTGTCTATCCATAGCCGCTCGTACGTATCGCCATCAAGGATACTTTTCAAGGATAATTTCCATCACTTTTTCTTACAGAAACGCATAATTTTGATAAACATTTGTTCATTTCGTCAATATTCATGTCTTCAAAACTCATTTGTGAATTCTTGACTGTTGTTGAAACCAATCTGTTGCAGAAAATATTTTTTTTACAAACGTAAACAAATTGCTAGACAATTGTACGGCAACTTATAAAATAAAACGATCACTGCAGGGTTTATTTTAACGTGCAGTTCTACACAAAATGTGCAGTTCTAAACCCATTTGTGCAGTTCTTAAAACACCAATGGCAATGTGCAGTCACCAAACTAACAAAAATAGCCTTAATTAATATAAAACAGTCTTCTCATTTACTCGTTACCCTTTTGGATGCTCCAGAAAATTCCAGAAATGCTGTCATTGAGCATCAAAAATATAAACGTTTTCTGGGGGAGGACTCCAGCAGACCCTCCTATTTTCCTCACAAATCACTTACGTGCTGGCGTAATGGAAAAGAAGGTAAAATTGGGGCGAGCGAATCTCCCCAAAAGAGATCAGAGTGGGAGAACCTAATATTCGTTGCTGCCTCAAATGCAAATTTAAGGTTGTTATATATTGAATATCCATGATTTACATGTTTTGAAACAGTTTTTGTGAGTGGTTGGGTAAACAAATCTTTGCCAGAACTAGGAGCCTCTAGATTCAAGTTATTTTGGGGCCAAGTTAGTTTGTCTGGCCTTTTTCCAATTCTCCCACACAACCACACCATTATTCTGTCACCTATATGCACGTAAAAAATCCATCGACCCCCCCCCCCCAGTCAAACACCCGTTGCTTTCGTATAACATCCCTAAATGTGCACTTCTAAATTTTTCTTAAAATAAACGCTGATCATATGCGAGATAAAGTTATATAAGCAGAATTCCGCAACGTAGTTTCCTACCTCGAAATAATTTTAAGCAAAATTTTATCGCTTCTTTCGTGCTTTTAGGTACAGCATTTTCTTTAAAATTACTTATTTCTTCATCTATCAATTCAAACAACTCGCCGCCATTTTGAAAAAAAACGCTTAGGCACAGAGTAGAGACATACAGAGACGTAACTGACCGTTGTTAACACTGCGGAAGCTTACGTTTTCATGTACCCACTTTTTTTCAGGCGACCGGGCAAAAAATGATCAACTGCGCCTGCTTAGCAAGTTTAAAGTGAGTCGTAATCAGGTTGTCATCCAGTCAGATGCATGCATCTAGTAACTTGCCATGCATGCGCACAAAAAAGGTGGGTACACTAGTTACGTCTCTGTATGTCTCTACTCTGTGACTTAGGTGATTATCCAAATATCCAATCTCGTTCCCTGAGCCTGCGGTCCTTGGGAAGGAAACGAAGGGATAATCCGTGATAATCCGTTTCTGAGATAATCCGTTTCGGATTAATCCGGCTCTGGGATAATCCGTTTCAGGGAGGAATCTGATTGGCCGTTGATATGGAATGTGCAGTTCAACTTAGCCAAAATTACTGGCTTTCGGCAACGGATTATCCCAGAGTCTTCGTTTCCTTCCCGAGGATCGCAGGCTCGGGGAACGAGATTGGTGATTATCGCGTAATAATCCGAGGTCGCTTGACCAATCAGCGGCCACAATTTTTGATCATCACCCTTGTAATTATACCAAACTTAAATAAGTCTAATTTTGTATATGAAGAACAATTAACAGTCTTTGTGTGTTTCAAAAATGTAAAGAACATATCGCGCTGAAACCGCAAACGAAATAAGGCATGCGCGTAGCATCCTCGTCCCCAGGCGCTTTGATTTGCTGCGCCGTTTCGTGAGAAATGGAAATTTGGAGCCTGGGACGAGGCTGTGCGAGTAGGCCAACGTTCCCATGCACGCGCGCGTCATTTTCCACAGCGGGTCTTACGCGGTATCTGTATTCTTTAATTTTTTGATTTTCGTTTGATAGATCATAGATGTGAACTAGTGGATGAGTTATACCAACGTTTTAATACAGTCAGAACTCATCTACTCGTTCCGGCATCCATCTTAAGAAGAAAATCGGAGTAGAAGTACATGCATGCAGCAATCCCCCGCCTTCATTTTCCAAACTTCACCTGTTATGAAATACAACAGGTTTTTCCAAACATTGATTAGTAGTTGGCCAATACTAAACGCAGGCTCGTGTTTACGTCAAGTGTTGCCCTGGCAACACGATAATTATTTTAAATTTTACAAAACGGCAAACCATTCGGCAAACATAGTTGACATATTAGTACTTTTAAACTATTCAACAATGAATGGGCTATTCCATTTAATATCCGTAGCCCCTCCCTGTCGAGGATACATGTTTTTCATAGTTATATACCCTTGAAGAATTCCAAGCTCAAAACCTTTTGCCCTTGAAGAATTCCAAGCTCAAAACCCTTTACCCTTGAAGAATCCCAAGCTCAAAACCTTTTACCCTTGAAGAATTCCAAGCTCAAAACCTTTTACCCTTGAAGAATTCCAAGCTCAAAACCCTTTACCCCTGAAGAATTCCAAGCTCAAAACCTTTTACCTTTGAAGAATTCCAAGCTCAAAACCTTTAACCATTGCAGAATTCCAAGCTCAAAACCTTTTACCCTTGAAGAATTCCAAGCTCAAAACCCTTTATCCCTGAAGAATTCCAAGCTCAAAACCTTTTACCCTTGAAGAATTCCAAGCTCAAAACCCTTTACCATTGAAGAATTCCAAGCTCAAAACCCTTTATCCCTGAAGAATTCCAAGCTCAAAACCTTTTACCCTTGAAGAATTCCAAGCTCAAAACCCTTTACCATTGAAGAATTCCAAGCTCAAAACCCTTTATCCCTGAAGAATTCCAAGCTGAAAACCTTTTACCCTTGAAGAATTCGAAGTTCAAAACCCTTTACCCCTGAAGAATGCAAGCTCAAAACCTTTTACCCTTGAAGAATTCCAAGCTCAAAACCCTTTACCATTGAAGAATTCCAAGCTCAAAACCCTTTATCCCTGAAGAATTCCAAGCTGAAAACCTTTTACCCCTGAAGAATTCGAAGCTCAAAACCCTTTACCCCTGAAGAATTCCAAGCTCAAAACCTTTTACCCTTGAAGAATTCCAAGCTCAAAACCCTTTACCATTGAAGAATTCCAAGCTCAAAACCCTTTATCCCTGACGAATTCCAAGCTGAAAACCTTTTACGGGGGGACAATATGCACTGTAGGTATGTTATTGTGCATTTTGTGAGCTTTGATTTAATGTAAAATTTAACCTGAATCGTTTCGTAAAATGTTTTGAAATGTTCATTCAACTAAACTGCTTTTGCCGATAAACTGTTTTAAAATACTAATGAAACAAAATCAGTTCAAATTCTTGAGTAATTTCATTTCGGTCTTCAAATTAACTTGCTCTCCTTACATTTTAACTTTTTTTCTTAAATTAAACAGGGTAATGTGCGAAACTTACAGCTTCATTGAAACGGAAAGCAGTGCATGTTTTACGCAAGTTATTAATTAAAGCAACACAATTCATAAACAATATTAAACATTCAAAGCAAACTTGCCTTATATTTCATGATTTCCCATAGTAAACCAATTCTTCTCATTTCTTCAAACAAAAATTGCTTCAAAGCTCATTAAAAATATGTTTTTAAAAATTGAAGTCTTGCTTATCTCACTCCTGCCAAACAGACATATTTTTGAGATCAGTGAGGAGGTCCACCCATTTTAGATTTCGCTAAAGCTGGAACTCCCCGGGTGTAAATATAGCCAAACGGCACATGGTGTAAATAGCCAAACTTCGCTAAAGTTTTCCTCGCCCCGGGCGTTAGCCCGGAACGGCGTTCTGCGCCGTTGGCTCGGGGACTAGAAATCGTAAATGCCAAACGTAAATGCCAAATGGCCATTATACTGCTCTCAAACTTTCATATATATATCTTCTTTAAAATGTCACTCGCGTTCAAGACTTGCTTGTCTTGCATGGGGTCTTTAAGCACCTTCATACACTATAGACATACTTCATAAAAGCACGCAACCAGGTGTAGCCTGCGCACAGGCTAGCAACTAGGTCGAGGACGGTGTATAACAGGAAAACATAACAATATCCTGCCTGCACGTTGCAATGGACGGTAATATGGGAAACAAGATTGCAACACCCCATTTGTGACAATCTATAGTTACACTGATAAACGGTAAACATAACACATTTGACGATAAATGTACCGAGGGTATGCTATACGCATATGCATATATACTCAATTAATCGACCTCATTTTACTTAGTTTATATAGTTTTATTTATATAGTTTCAACTATATTTTAAATCTATCTTTTAAAGTTTTAGTAGCTACAGCTCAAGGCTATACATGCAGCAACTGTCTCTCTTACCAATATGCTATTACTATATAGCCTGCAAAGCAGGCGCTCAAGGGCTATAGTCAGGCAGATAGAGTATCTAAAATGAATGAAAACTCACCACATCGGGGAACAATTCCATTTTGCTTCATCTTGTGTCTTTAAGGCTGGTAAGTGCATTTCTGTATATGTCTATATATATTATTTTTTACCCTGCCGCCTTAATATTGGCGAGCAAAATCCGTAATCCAACAAAAAAAAGCGTGGCCTTATAGGCGCCTTTGTAGTAAAATGCTATTGCTCATGATCACGTCTTCATTGACGTTGCCGTTGTCGGCTTCATTGACGTTGCGCATGATTTCATAGCGAAATAAACATAAATGTGAGGGACTGACCTGTGTCTAACGAAACATTTTCTTCTACATAGCACCCTCTCTAAAACAGCGGCCATCTTCAATCGTTCTATCCGGGCGTCTGTGGATATCAAGTTTGTGACGACTCAAAAATTGCTCCCGATTTTAAGACACTGCTCCACTTCGTGGACAGTGTTAATGAACGTAGTAGAGCCGCTTCCTGTTTACTAAAACAATTTATAAGCCCTTTCATTTTCTTTGATCATATTTATAAATATGTTTACCATATTGAGAAACAAACTTTTCATGAACATTTTTAGTTTTATCTTGTAAAACAGCGCGGTCTAATAAACATATTATACAGAAGGTTTAATATAAGTCTCTATGCAAACGAATTCAATACTGTATGGTATTTATACTGCATTTCTCTGTCACTGATATCAGCATAATCAGATATAAACGTTAGTACGTGACATATAGAGAATAGTACGTGACATATAGAGCATAGTAGTGGGCTTAAGCAAGCCACGTGTTTGTCAACACGGACGTTTTTGTCAACACGGACGTTTTTGTCAACACGGACGTTTTTGTCAACACGGACGTTTTTGTCAACACGGACGTCACCAGAATATTGATATAACTAATTTTGGCGGAATTTTGCATCATAGCGCTCGTTGAATTCTTGAAGATTACCACAACAAACTGATATAAACACAGTTAGTTTTAATCCAGTCCCCCTCGACAATCTGACCTCCGTGTTGACCAAAAACGTCGTATTTATTCTTGTATTTGGTTGTAAATATCTCAACAGTTCTCAGGTTGATCACTGTCTGCCGCTCCATAATGCTTAATGAACCAATGAAGGTCATGTTCCAGGTCTTTAAAGCGCAATTGCATGTAGAGTGATTGGAAACTAGTTTTCACATGCAGTCACACGTTCTTGTCTTGACACGCTGTACTTACAACAATAAACTTCTTCCAATGAAGGCCATCCACATAATTTCTGTTCCTGGGGAATTTCTTGAACTATGGTGTTTCCTTAAATCGAATATTCTGTAGATTATCTGTTATCTCTTGTAGTAAACTGTTTTCATTCACTGGTGGACAAACGACTTTTGGAGAGTGGTACGACACGTATGGCATCAACTAGAGTGTAAACAAGTTAAAACAATCAGAATGGATATTAAATGACGCTAATGCATAGGCGTACGAGGTAGGTGGAGGGGCTGCGTTTATAGTCGGGAAGATTCTACTTAAAAATAGGGCAATTTGCTAGGCCTATACCCGCCTCGATATAATGTATATCATGCAGCGCGTCAGAAAATACCCGAAAACTAAAGTATGAAGAATTTAAGGACTTCCAAGCAATTCTTTCCAAGGCCTTTCGAGGCCTTGAATTTTTTTCAACTTTTGTACGAATCCTGTTAGTAAGAAAATTGAAAGTTCTTTGCAAACTTTTGTCCGCCCCCTAATATTTTCCACCCGTGATATCCACACTGTTGAAAAAATGCTTGACACCTTGACCGCGGTGGGTATCGAACCCGCGACCTTTGGTTATTCCACTAATGGAGCTACGAGGTCAATCGCTCCGATTAGACGTAAGATCATAAGATATTATTTAACAATTATTCGCCGAAGACGAAGTGATTATTGGTGAATAAGAACCGAGACGAAGTCGAGGTTTTTATTCACGATAATCACCGAGCCTGAGGTGAATAATTGTTTTAGTATAATTTCATAGGTGATTATTTGGAAAAAAATAAAAAATACATATTTCTTCGTCATTTCATTGACAAAACGGCTTCGGCCGCCATTTTGAAAATCGCTTAGGTGATTATCGCGTTATAATCACCTCAACGGCAACCAATCAGCGTGGAGAATTTTCAATAATCACCTATGTAATTATACTAAGTATAGGTAATCATGCGATGGCGAGTACAATTAGGGATTAATAGTACGAGTGATGTTTGCAAATTTTGCCAAAATTGTTTATTATTAGCATGACAAAATTGGATACTTCTCAGTTCTCAATGTCAACATCATATTCTCTCGCCAAAGCCCAGTCCTGCAAGACTTTCAACCAAAATTTGGTGCTTTTGTTCGTACTTTCATTTAGTTCTTTTGTTAAAGCAAAATTTGGTGCTTTTGTTCGTATCTAGTTCCTCTAGCGCAATTATATTTCACATTTGTATTTAAAATACCTTTCCGCCATTTTGTTTGTTTTGGGAAAATCATTAATTGTACTGCAGTACAATTAATGAAATAACTGTACTCCTCTTAACCAATCAGCATCCAGTAATTTTGTCATGCTAATAATAAATACTGACATCAAAAAAACAAGACTCGAACCATCTTGACATTGTGACTTAGATGAACAGGAAAACTTACTTCAAAATCCGTAAGGTCTGGAACTACAAACTCGGGCACTTTCTTCGGAACTATTATATAATGTCCTAAAAAGGTTAAATTAGAAAAATAATGAAATTAATATTAATGAAAATCATTTTGTAACGAAAAGGTTAAATCACACCAGCACTTGTTTCCAGTGTATTCATATAGTCAACAGAATAAGAAGGTTACTGAGAAACTCGATGCAGGCATAATTTTTTAAAGTTATTTGAAAATCGCCAGTGTAGTTTTTAAGAAAAGGCTAAAATGCAATCTTAAAGGCTGAAATTTAGTTTCTCGAAAACTACACTGGCGATTTTCAAATAACTTTCAAAAAAGATTCAAAACTTCATAACAATGTATTTTCTGCAATAAAAAAGGTAGGTCACCGTGGTTTTTGTCCGCTAAGACGGCTTTTTTTGTTGATATAGGCCATATAGATGGTGACGTCATGTTGTCATGGTAACGTGCAGAGTAGCGATTGTGGATTAAAGTTAGTCTTTTACATAAGAGGAAACAATGGCTTGTGCAAAAAATTAGTTTTTTTAGATTCAAATAGCTTTTAGTTTAAAACACTGACATATATTGGAAACTGTAGGGAGCCTCCTTAACCACCCATGCACAAGATCTGCTGCAAGCCACATAAGGGGGCATCCATTTAGTACGTACGCAAGGAGAGGGGGGGAGGGTGTATGATCGATGCGTACAATTGCGTACAGTGGGGGAAGGGGGTTAAACCGTTGTTTCGTACGTACGCATAATGATATTTTGTTGTGAACCCTTTGCAACAAATTGGCTAGATGTTTTCCCAGAAAGATTTCTTCCCCCTCCTACAGTGTATGAATACACAGCGAATGGACTTAAAGCTGTTGAGCCATTGGAATATCTCAAGGATCCAAAAAAATTCATTTTTGCTGATTTAGAGAAACGATTAATCATTAAGAATCTACCCGCCAAAGCGAAAGAGTTTAAACAATGTCCACTCGATCTCTACTGCCCTTCAATGCAGGAAAAACTTAAGAAGTGCGTTTGCGAAAAATGTGGTAGCTATTGGCCCAGCGAAGCTGCGAAAAACCGCCATAAAAAGAGCCACTCGGTGAAGGAAAGTGCAGCCTGTCAGGCTAAAGATAGCGATACACTTGGCCAGGACGACGTGGAAGAAGATGTTATGGAGGAAGAAGACAATGGCAGCGCTTCTCATGCAATGGAAATTTGTAGCGACGTTGAAAGCGAGTCGAACTGCATCATGCCAGTAATTGAAAACCTCGCTGAATTTCTGAACTCGCCATTTGTGGAAAAATGAGCTATTTACTTACATTTTACACTTTCGATTGTTTTTATCATTACATTTACACAATGTTATTGTTAAAATGTGTTATGAAAGTTAACTAGACACAAATAAAATCAGACAGTGGCTATGACTACTACTAAAATTGAGGTTAAAAATATTGAGCATGATGGGTACGGGGGGGTCGCTTATAGAATATTCTTGTACACATGCGCACGCATAGAGGGAGGGGGAGCCAAAAAATCGTACAATTGCGTACAAAGGGGAGAGGGGGTGTTAAATATTCTGGAAATTTTGCGTAAGTACTAAATGGATGCCCCCCCTGTAAAAGATATTTTAAGGCCTGAATGGCGCCATATTGGGGAAAAGGTCGCATATCTACCTCCTCCGCAGGCCTTTCAAAAATATAAAATTGGTAGGAAACGAGCTACACAAGCTTTCGTCTCAGATTTCAAATTTTAACCTGCGAACGGGCATACTCATTACGGGCGGTATGGCCTGCGGAGGAGGTAGGTGGCATATTGCAGTGATATCTTCTAAAAGCTAGTTCGGTAGTTCCCCAACTTTATTTCTGTTTTTACTATAATATCATAATCTTCACCCCTGGGAAGTTTCAGCAAATTCTCATTTCCAGAACAATAGACCTTCCCCAATCTCTTTTAACCCAATGGCCTCGTTTCCATGTTAACTTATTTTAGCATGTCAGGGGCAGGTAAGGATTATATTCTCAAGTTTTCCTGGACAAAGCCATTGAGTAAAAGGTGAATGAACGGTAAGGTCTATTTATTACTGATGAATCACCTTAATAACGTTATTGTATTATTACCATGTACATACTTTGCCTTCAACAGTTCCCACAAGCAATGACGCCATCCATGGTAGAGGTTCAATAAAGTACGATGTACACTTGCTGGTACTCAACGTTTTGTTTTCCTCGGTTAATAATTTGTCATTCCAAGACAAAAAGTCTTCACCACTGCCTGGAATATGTTCCAGACAGTTTTCACTGTTAAATATTTTGTGTCTAAAAAAGCAAATTACAATCTAAGTAATCAAGACACTGCTTTATAACGCTAGTTAGTTGACCTCCCTAAAGCCCACGGCAAACTAGGAAACATTGTTGCGGAAACATTGTTTCCTACCAATGTTTCGCCATGTTTCCCAGAGTGGGCAAACACTAGGAAACATTAGTGAGAAACATAGCCATAATAGGAAAACATCAAATGTTTCTAAATTTGCTAGGAAACATTTTTTGCTTCTCGAGAAGCAAATTTTGTTTGCGCAACAATGTTTCCACGGGTGGGCAAACATGGAAACATTTGAGGAAACATCGAGAATCACAAATGTTTCCACAATAATGTTTCCTAGTTGCAAACTAGTTACAAGCACAGACAAGCACGTCAATTCATGTTTGTAATAGAAGAGTTGCAATCACTAGTACTGTAATTGTATTTAGTTAGCATGATTTTTCTCATTCGATGGGCATCTCATCTTCAATTCTCGGAGCTGTTCATGCATGGTAGGGTCTAAATAAATGGACGAAATTTAATCGAATTTTTGTCTACAAAATCCTTCAACACTAGTTCAATCGAGTAAGATGCCGAAAAATCCTGAACTTCATGTAAGCCGCTGCCAGATCAGTGGCCCCTACCGAAGACACTTTAAACACAGTGATGGTTGGTGGACAAGCTTATATATATAGTGCACAGATGGAGCGCACTTCAGAAATACATTTAAGTCTTCGCGCCAATTTTTCTGTAGAATAAATTATTTATATTTACCTACATATATAGATGTCAGCTCTTGTAATGGCGTATTAAAACTATTTTTACAAAAACGTTTAACTAGAGCACTTATTGCGCCTCTCTGCGTTTTCCTCTACATAGCCTGCAATCAACGAGATTGTGTATCTAAAAATGCAGTTTGCAAACCCACACAAAACCTTACATGATGTCTACAAAACATTAATTCAGCCTCATTTTGATTACTGTTCTCCCCTGTGGGATAACTGTGGTTTGGGACTTCAAGACAAATTGCAAAAATTCCAAAATCGAGCAGCAAGGGTGATT